CCCTGGGACAGTATTTCAAAAGACCTGTCAGGAAATTCTGAACATGTTTCGAAACTTCTCTTAATTCTATGGGATTATAGAGGTTTATAGACCGCATTCCACATTTTCCCCTTGGTATTCTTGCGTACTTGTGAAATGTCAAAGGGACTAGATCTCTTTTTATCCAGATATTAAACATGTATGAAAACTTTAGGGGAGAGGAATTAAAATGCCCAGTCTGGTTTCCCTTTTAAATTCTCCTAGGCCTATCTGACTACCGATGTAGGTTTCCATTATTATTTTGCAGTAGAGCACAAGCGTAATTGCAGCTCTTTTCCTGTTAAGTTTTTTAATGAAACATAAGATCACATTTATCACACACTTAATTGATTCCAAGCATAGCATTCAGCTCTTCCTCCGGCTTCATTCCTTTGACTCTCATATGACCAGTGAGGTCGGCAACTTTATTACCCATATTTTATAGATAAAAGGCCCTGGGGTGAGAGTTAGGTTCTGCATAAGGATTTGTGACTGTTTTTGTTGAAGATTAACTCCTCCAAGAGAGCTGTAGTTCTGGAGTCCATTTGATAAAAAGTAACCACGAGTTTCTATAGAGAGCCCCTGCTGGATCGTGGGCGGACAACAGAGCGCACTGGAGCCCTCTTTAGCACAAGCTTCTGTCACCTTTATCTGTGGTCTGAGCCAGAGACTGAGGAGAACAAAAGACCAGTGGAACAAGTGGTGACTGGAGACTTTGGTCATCTTCAGGATCAGATAGATAATAAGAGGGCAGACACTTTGGTCTGCAGGCTGCCTTAAAGGGAGAAAGTTTCATGAAAGAGTTAGTCCTCTTGATCCGTCCATTCACCGAACCCCTCAAGTTGGCGATCACCATTACCGAGGTACCCTACTTCTTGGGTGCATTCTGCACTGTTTGATGTTCCCCTCCAGTGACACGAAGCCATGTGTCCCCAAAGATAAAAGGGAATATAGGAAGGCCAGAGAGCAACATTCTTCATGTTGAGTGTGATATGCTCTCCTAGTAAAGAAGAAACATTCTTGACCACCTCGCATGTTGGCCTAGGTGTTTTGTTTTGTTTTGTTTTGTTGCCACGGGTCAAACTCGGGACCTTGTGCTTGCAAGGCAGACGGGGCACCACTGAGCTAAATCCCCACCCCGGCTTAGGTTATTTTTATTTAAATGTTACTTTATAAGTGCATGGACCCAGAATCAAGCTGTTTAAATTTATACCCTGTATACAACTAAAAACCCAAACCAACTTGAAAATGAAGTATGACCGAGACTGAAAGATCTCTGAAATATTCCACCTAAGCACATTAATATAATTCAGCGGCTGATGGTTAGTGGGTCCTGAATTGCCTGAGCAAAGACTGAGTGCAGACTTTGATTCGTGCACAGGTTCTTTGAGTTTGCCAGACCCATTTCGGTATAACTTATTCCCCACCACTCTTGGTCCTTCCAAAGTCGCATGGAAAGCGCCCAAGGGCTTGTTACAGCACAGATCTCAGGGCCCTAAGGTTCTGCTTTACTGAGTCAGAAGTGGGGCCTAGGAATGCGCATTTGCAATGAGTTGTGAGGCAGTGCTGATGCTCTTGAGCACACTTTGGGGACCTCTGCCCTGTTCCCAGTTATCCAGAGACTTTGCACAGATTCAAGCTAAGAAGCATTCCTGACAAACTAAGTCTACTTCTGCTCCTTTCTCATTATCCTCTGACAATGAAAGTTATTTTTTTAGGGGAAAATTGTGCATCAGCCAACCCCAGTGCTGAAGTAGGCATTGAAATTGAATCTGTATGTGGTGCAGGTGGTCATCGGATGGCCTGGTTCTAGTCTGTAAAAGGTTGTTATATGTATGTGTGTGTGCTTTAAACATAATCAGAAAGAAAATCAGGCCCTGAGAATGTGTCCATGTACCTCACTCTGAGAAACACTGTGGCGGGGCGGGGTTACTATGAAACACTTACAGGTTTGTTAACCTCTGCTACTCAGGAGGCTGAGGCAGGAGCTTTAGCAAGTATGAGCCCAGCCTGGGCAACTTAGCAACCTAGTGAGAGCACGTCTTAAAAAAGTAGGGGAGAGGGCTGGGATGCCACCTGCCTTACAAGTGCAAGGTCCTAAGTTCGATCCTTGGTACCAAAGAATAAAACAAAAAACAGAAGTAGGGGAGGGGCCCTGAGAATGTAGCTCAATGTAAAGACTCCTGGTTCAATCCCCCAAATTAAAAAAAAAAAAGTTTAACTCCCTATGGTGAGTTATACTTTTCTTATGTTTTATTTTTTAAAAAAATTTGCAGTACTGGGGATCAAAGCCATACTGTGTGAGTACCAGGACCTTTAGTCTTGCGCTTGAATGTTAGAGATAGGATGAGGCACAGAGAAGCAGCCACGGTAGAATACTTTCACCGCCCCCTCCCCACGCTTGCTTCATTCAGATTCTGTTGAAGTATCAGTTCTTGGTTACAGAGCATGAAAACTCTAATGCCAATTAACTACACAAACCAACTGGTGTTTTTTCAGGACAGAGAACCCCTTTGTTTAGGAGACTCCAAACCATATCACATGAAGCACAGGCAAAGGGCCTGGGGTAGGGAGGCCATGATTCCAGTTTTCACTGTATAAAGTGCTCACCATGGAAAAGCAGCCAATCTTGCAGAGCCAATGCATAGAAGATGCAGACTTTGGCTCAGGAAAGCCCTTCCTCAGGCCTAGAGTTGGCCTGATGGGCAGGTTACCTTACAGAGGTTGGGGACAGCTTGTCTTGGAGGTTTCTGTGGTCCCCAGCAACTTGGTGGGATGTGCCGCAGGATTTCCATCCATCAAGCAAGCCATGTGTTCCGGGCCTCTTTGTCAACGGAAATTTCCCAGTTTTGAGGCTGTTTTAGCTTTCCCTCTGATCAGTCTCCCCAAATTCTCTAAAGCAGAGATGTTTGGTTCTACCTTAAATATGTCTAAATGCAGCGTTGCATAGTGGGTTCTCAGGTCCCCGCAGCTGCCTCTCTCAGCCCCTCCATTTTGTGTCTCTCTCCAGCAGCTTTCCACATCTGCAACTCGGCACGCACCCCCCCCCCACCATCTCTGGTGCTTATATGCTGTCTTCCCTTTGCACACCATGACTTCCGGTCTGCCTAAGAGGCATACTGTGTCTGCGACTGCACTCTGCTATTCTTGAGTTTGGGATCCTCCTGTCTCAGCTTCGCAGAGTGCTGGGATTACAGGCTTGCACCTGTACGCCCAACATGTCTCTATTTCTTGGTTTATGCAGTTTATCTCCCCATCCTCATGTCTGGCCAGCCGGAGATATATAAATTCATACACATTATACTCACTACCTGAGAGGCCTTTCTGTCTTCATGCGCTTATTTGTAAGTCCTTTGTCTCGTAATGTTGGTGTGGTCAGAAGCAGTGCAGTTTAGCGTTTTCTCCTTCCCTTTGCACTCCTCACTACTAGAAAGGGCTGCCTTATTCCTGTGTGTTTTTGTTGATGGCCTGTCGCTCCCTAAGCCTGAATCTAAGATGGCGGCATCCTTCTGTTTCACCAACACCGAACCCTGTGTGGGCCAGAGAGGCACCCTGCAAGAATGTGTGGAATGAACATTTGTGTGTCTGTCTTCCTAACTCCACCGTGAGTTCAGAGCAGGAACCCGTCTTAACCATATGTCTGAAATTTGAGAAGACGTTTACCCAGAGCCCGTGGGCTCCGGTACCTGTCATTATCTGGAGCACAGTAATTCAGAGGCGCCTTAGTGGAATTAGGCCCCAAGGTTCTTAATTTCAGTCACTCTCATTGGATTTGTTTTGACAGAAATCCCATTGCCCATTTTAAACACATATTCCTCTGGGTGCTTTGAGTGGTGGAGACTCCTTGCTTGGCAGGCTTTTCATCTCCATCAGGAAATCTCATCAAAATGATATTAGGTTTGAACGTCAGGAAAAGAAGAAACCACCAAGAAGATGCTGCTGTTCTCTAGATTGCTCAGTTGGCTTTGGATATAAGCAGCTCAGCCCTCCCCGAAGGTATTTCAACCACAGCTGAGATACTGGGCCAAGGCCAGGTGGCAGTCACACAATAAATAATAAAATAAGTGAGGGGAGGAGGGAATGTCTCTAGTGACAAGCCAAGGCAAAATCCAAGAAGATAGTCAAACACTGGATTTGGTGGGAGGCTCTGGTTTCAGAGCTGAGTGGTGACCCAGTGGCTTATCTACCTGGAACTGGTTTTCCCAGGTGGGTCTTTGCCCTGTAGCTTTAGTCTGGCCTCTTCCTAACTCTTAAAAGTTAGACATGGAAGACCACGTAACAGTAGGACTACTTTTATCTGAGCTTCCTAATATCTTCCAGGCACTTTTTTAAAAAACATAATTTCATCTGAAATTCCTTGCTGTTCACTTCTTCCCACTGCAGGTTGGGCTCAGGATTGTTTCAGATTTTGCCCCCCCCCCCCCCGCTAGATTTTAGAATATTTGCATATACCTAATGCATACACCACTCCGGGGTGGGGCCCAAATCTAATTACACAAACCCACTGGGGTTTCGCAGACACCTCGTACAGCCCGAAGGTAGTGTTATACAGCGTCTCTTCTGTGCCTGTGCTTTGACTTACGACCTGTCTCGTGAGGCCAGAGGTGGAATTTTCCACTTGTGACATCATGGTGGCACTCAGAACCCTTCAGAGTGTGGAGCGTCTTGGAATTTGGGAGCAGGGATGCCCAACCTGTACCACGATTGAGAAAGCAGGGAGGGCGGTGGTTCTGCCCTCGGGCTGGCTCTGGAAGCTCCACTCGTGGTCATCTTCGGGATGGAGCCCGTCCGCTGTGTGCTCCTCCGAGCCTTTCAGGGCCTTTCATTGTCGGTGCGGCAGTGTGTCGCTGAGGGAAACCAGGGTGGCTCGGAGAGAGGACCGTGGTGGTGTCAGGACAGAGGCAACCCGGAAGCTTGTGCGAAGCCTGTGTTCCCCACCCTGGGGCCACATTCCGGTCTCATGCTTTGGTTTCCATTTGCAGAGGTGTGAACTTGTATGCCATGTTGACTGGGACCCTGCCTTTCACAGTGGAGCCTTTCAGCCTGAGGGCTTTGTACCAGAAGATGGTGGACAAAGAGATGAACCCCCTCCCAACCCAGCTGTCCACAGGTAAGGCTCCGGATGCAGTTCGGGGACCTGTGTCCAGACTGACTAGGCTCTGTGGGTGAAGCAGTATTTTGTTGTGCAGCACCGCTGTTATAATGATCCCATGATGGTAAGTTTCTTTCCACCGCTAAGGTGAAGTCTCAGCGGGTGGTTGGTTTTCCCAGCTCCAGCCGGCCACTCCCTTCACTCATCTGTATCTTCTTTTCCTTTATAATTCCAAAGCCCCGGCTTCCTCCTTCCTCCTTCTGCACAAAACACACACATCAAAAGATCTCCTGTTCTCTACTTGAAAAATAATTACAGGCTTGATTGTTTTAAAACTCACCATCTTATAATCTTGGCTTGGAAAAGAAGGTTGATAATCCATTTCTATTATGTTTACTTTAGTCAACTCTCTGTAAAGAAATACTAGTTTCATTCAAGTTGGGTCTGTACTGTAATTTGTTGGGTTAGGTGAGTTTTTGAGCCTGTTCAGAAGCTTTTCAATGTATAGAGGTTCAGTTACTCATCTGACTTAATCATCAGGTGTGTTTGGAAAGTATTCTCAAACTTTAGCTGGCTCACGTTTCAGTAAACAGTTTGTATTAAGGTTTGGTTTTGGACCCAGTAAATTAGCACAGTTAATTCTTTTTGTTTGCTTCAAAATTCATATCAAGTGTGTGGCCTAGGCTTGATTTGGATGGTCATTTCATTGTCCTCTTGCACTAAACTCATCTTCACTGAGAAGAGGCATTGGACCAAAAAATAAGAAAATAATTCAAGCCAGACATGGTGGTACAAGCCTGTAATCCTAGCACTGGGGAGGCTGAGGCAGGAGGATCCTTACGAGTTCAAGGCCAACTTGGGCTACATAGTGAGTTCGAGGCCAGACTGAACTACAAGGCAAGATCCTGTCTCAAAAACAAAACCAAGTCAACTATTTAAATTCATCTTATGATAAGTGGTTAAAGTGTAGCACTATTTTACTGCTGTTGAATAATTGTCTCTTGAGTTGACAAAGTGTCCACAAAGCTGACCCTGAATTTGTGCTTGCCAATGGCGTCCGAGCCGAAGTGAGTTTCCAGTACGTAATTATCTACTTCTGGCCATGTTTTGTACCTTTGTGAGGGAGGGTGGAATCCTTGAGGTTGAAAGTAAAGGAGGCTTTATGTCCTTGGGTTGATAAGTTACACTTGTGTCTTTTAAAAGAAATAGTTCTGCTCTGAGAGCCATAACTTTCAGAGTTAGGAGATGTGCAAAAATGGTGACGGAATTGTTATATTTAAGTTTTAGTGCTTCCAGAAATGTAGGAAGTGCTGCACAGCACTATGAAGAATGTTCATTCACTCGCTCATATTTCGTATTCATTCCCTCACTCCCTGCACATGAAAAGTGCACCGGCTATGTGCTGGCTGCATTCTAGGTGGCAGGAAGTTGAACTCATCCCTTCCTGAGCTTGTACAGTGTTATCAAAGGGAAAGAATACAGAAATGTATTTGATTGTGTGCGTGCTCCAACTAAAAACATCAGGATGTGAGGGTAGGGAGTAGAGGGAGTAGCTTTATTTTTTTGTAAGCAAGTAAAATTTTTTAAAAAGAAGATTCACACAGAGTTGTAATAATAAGCCCATCTGTCCTTCATCCAGTCTCTTCCAATGGCGGGTCCTGGTATAATGGTAGTGTATTATTTAATCAAATTACCGTTGATTACAGCTTTTGACCTTATTCCAGTTTCACAAATCTTGAATGGTTTTGTGTGTATGCTGTGTGTGTTTAATTCCGGGCGATTTCAGCACACTCTTCAGCACACTTGTCAGTTCATGGCGCACAGATGGTGTAGTCGATCACAAGGATCTTGTGCTCTCCCTGTGGCGACGGCTACATCCCTTCCGTCTGCTCTGCCTTCCCCCCGCCCGCCACTGTCGCATTCTGTGTCACTTCAAACATGCTGTATAGAAACCTGAGACCCGAGTTGCTGCTGCTGCTGCATGTCCCAGAACTCTGTTCCCTCTTATTGCTGAGCAGCATTCCCTGGTGTGGACATCTGTCATGTTTATTCACCCAGCGGATGACCATTGGGTTGTTTGCAGTTTAGGATCATCATGAGTAAAGATACTATAAATACTCACATACAGGTATTGGCATAAACATGATTCGTTCCCTAGGACAAATACCTAAGAGTAAGATTGCCGGGTCAGACTAGAAGCACATTCAGGTATTTAGTTTTGTGTGGAACTGCTGTACCATTCTGTATTCCCACAGACAAGATCCATTGAGAGCAGCATTAGTGATAAATATTGCCATCTCTCGGAGTGATTCTGAAGTTCCTCTGATGGTCAGAGCCCGCCGTGTCCTAAATGACCCAGCATACAGAAAGGGTAGAAGGATGTTTGTACCCACATCCTTGGGAAGGGCAAACAGTACTCACTCCAAATCCTTCTGGGGCTCTGAGGACCTGGAGACTGCTGATCGGCCACCTTCTCGTTGTATTGGGCACGGCAGGCCTGGTTAAGCTACAGTAATAATCAGCCTCCCGTTCTCGGTGGCTCGAGACTACACAGGTTTATCCTCACTCAGATCACATGTGTATGGAGAGTTGGGTCAAGGATCGAAGAGTTCTGCCTGTCTTGGGGCTCTAGGCTGAAGGAAGAGCCTTCATTTTCTTTTTAAGTAATTTTATCGGTTCATTTTAGGTATACAATATAATGACATTGATAATTGGAAATTTGTACCTGTATATAATCCATCGTGGTTCTTACTTTTTCCCCCTTCCCCTGCCCTCCCTTCAACCCCTCCACCCCACCCTGTTTACAAAGATGTTGTTTCCATTTTCTCGTATAAATTCCATGCCCTTCTGTCCTTTCCTCTACCCGTCCCACTTCCCTTTCTCCTTTGCATCTTTTCTTCCTGTTTCACATTATCTGTTACCCCCTTTGATCCCCATTTACACTTGCAGTTTCTCACACCAAAGAAACCGTTTGGCGGTCACACACGTGTGTCCTGTTTATTTCACTTACGAGTATCATCTCAATGTGCATATAGTTATAAATGTCTCTGGTTTCTCATTCTTTATGGCTGAGTAGTACTCCATTTTATATATTTCTTCTTTAACCAGTCTCCAGTTGGTGGGCAGTTGGGCTGTTTCCAACTTTTAGCTCTTACAAACTGTGCTGCAATGAACATGGGTGCACATATATCGCCGTGGTGTGATTCTTTGAATTCTTTTGGAAAGATTCCCGGCAGGGGGATGGCTGGGTCCAAAGGGACCTCCCATCCTAGTAAATAGCCTTTCTTTTCAACATTGCTGAAGAGAGTGAGCAAAAGAGAGAGCCAGCCTTTCACCAGCATGAAATCTCTTCCCACCCGTACCTTCAAGCTTCTGAAACATAGAAATGGCTTCACTCGGGTATTGGAACGAGGCAGTGTCACCCTAGTGTGGAGGCCACACGTATTTGTGAACAGGATTAAGTGAACCACACTCAAGCTGTAAGAGGAGGAGAAAGAACTCATCCTTGATTCAACACAGGCCTGGGCCGGGCAGCCAGGATATGCCACGGAGGTTAATAATACAAGAAAATCATTCTCATGACTTTGGTCGGTTACTCCCAGGCACCTTAGCCTTTGCAGATGAAGAACTAAATATTTTTTTATTAAATTAAATTTATCCTTAAGAAGTTAAAAAAAAAAAAAAAGCCAGGCGTGGTGGTTCACGCCTATAATCCCAGCACTCAGGAGGCTGAGGCAGGAGGATCGCTGTGAGTTGGAGACCAGTCTGGGCTACACAGTGAGTTCCAGGCCAGTCACAACTACATAGTGAGACCCTGTCTCAAAAAACCAAAAAAAAAAAAACAAAAAAATGTATGCCTTAAAATATAAAAATTCAGGTTCCTGCTGAAAATGTTCCATGCAATCGGAGTATCGCAGGAGTTGGGTCTAACTCCACACGCTGCTTCTTTGCAACGAGCTGTGGCCGGGGCCTTGAGCTCTGTGTGCTTGCTTTGACTTGCCGAGCATCAGCTGCATTTCTGGGTCCGATTTCCTAGCTAAGCCTGATGTCTCCTCCATTTGCTTTCCCTCGTGGAGTATATGAACACCTCTCTTGGGCAAGGCCTTACTCCAGTGTGGTGTTGGCACGCGATCAGTGCTCAGGGCATCTAGGCTGCCGACCCTGCTGTGAAAGTGTGTGTGTGACCTGAGAAGGTGGCCGCTGGGGTCATTTGGGCACTTGGGATCCAGAATGGGCCCAGTGCAGGCCCCAGAGCTGTGCACCAGCTGCATACGTACCCCTTTCTAAACGGAATGACCTCAGCTCCGGGGATCAGCTGCTGCCCCACGCTTGTGTCCCTCTGTAGTCTGCCAAGCTTATTTCCCCCTCCTCCTGACAAGCGTGGTCCACCTTCGTAGTCCTGTATGATATCATCTGCCTCTGTACTGCTTCCCCGTTTCTTGCCAGTGCTTGAATGACCATGTGTAAGTGTTTTTCGTGTTCGTCTTGTTTTCACACAACCCTGTAAGAGAAGTACAATCGTTTCCAATTTACCGGTGGGGAAATGGAATCTCGGAAGAATTAACTGTGATTGGGTGAAAATGGATCTTCCTACTGTTCTGTGGTACTTCTCTCCCTTCCTTATCTTATTGAGTGTGATATGCCTCCTCCCAATTTGAGGACATTGTCTGTTGTCTTTAAGTCCTTGTGCTTTGGATAATGTCGATGCAAATAGAAAATGTCAATTTTACTGCGTGTCGTGAGCACACGTCTTATTAATTTGATGAGTATGCCACTCCTGTTTGTAATGATCCATGTATTATATCCTAGTTCTCCCTTTATATTCAGTTTGAAGATTTTTTGCCAATTTTGAATTGAAAAAATACAGCATGGTTGCCCTTGTGAATTCATGAAGCACGCCTTCAAAGAGGCACTCCTTGTCTCTGCCGCATAGTTGGAAGCCATAACCTTCGGGGCCCTTTCCAGTTCTCTCTTCTGGGCCGGTTTATCTTTCTGCTCTCTGGCACTTACATATCACAGAGCAGTGAGTGCCTCTCGGGGCTTAGTCATTCTGCACAGTTTACTCTTTCATCACCAAACCTTCCAGCCACTTCTAATTAAAAGGATTGTGTGCTGCAGATATGCTGCCAAGCTAAGGGAGAAGTGTTAGCATTGCCCATTATGGAGCCAGTGCCATTTAGGGTTTCCGAGGAGCCCTAACTGTTGCACGTCGGCAGATCCTCCTAGTCTTACTCTGGAGGTGGTGAGGAAGCAGCTTCCAGTGGGGTGGGGTCCATTTGCATGCCACAGGCAGCATTCAGGAGAAGGTGGACGGCTTCCTCTGTCACCTTCAGCCTTGGCATAACATCCGGGTGCTCACACGTGGTGGTCCAGACTGGGGAAAGCTGCCTGCTCAGGAAGAGAAGAACAGGACCTTTTGCTCCACGGGAATGTGTGGCCCATGTTATGCTGAGCGGGGTGACAGAACGCTCCATGTGGCTCGTCCCAGGGCTCCTGGCCAGAACGGGGACCTAAGGGCTAAAGGGTTGGGAGTGGCAGGGGACTGCGCTGAGCCTGGCAGTCCTGGATGGTGAGGAATATTTCGATCCTTTTTAACCCAGAGACTCAGGGAGTTTTCAGAACCCTAACAAAAACCTTAAAGAGCTACAAGGGTGTCCTTAAAGTCCTTTTAGGATAGTAATGCAATGCTTATGACGTTCAAAGAAATCAAATTCGTCAGCAGAGATTTGGACTAAAATTACTTGTGCTCATCAGCAGTTTGTGAAGTCGTAGAGCACTCGATTATGAAAATAGAACAAAAACGCACATCCGGTTTATCCTGGCTCCTCTGGTTAATCACACTCTGAACAAGCTGCGCTGTGTCGTGGGAGGGGTCATTCAGAAAGCATCCTGACTCCACAGCATGCCCGGTTCAACTCATTCAGCCCGCGTCTTTACCCTATGGTTGATAGGGGCACCTCGTTATGATCCAAATGGGTTTTGCATTGTAGGGGTGTTGAGGGAAGGGAGTAAGGGGCTCAGCACAGGAACCTCTTCTTTTGGGGAGCTGTTTGCTTTCCAGGCCAACAAAGAATAGTGTAGGAAAGTTTGATTTGGAGACCCAGCTACAAGGCTTAGAGCACAGTAGACCCTCGAGTTACAACCACACTGACGTATGAACAACTTGGGTTAGTTAGGTTGATGGAAGGGTCACCTGCCTCTTGTTAGCTACAGCCTGTGCCCAGGTGAACATCCTGATCCCAGCTGTACTGACTTAGTTACAACCAGCCCTCGGGAACCGATCCTGTTCCTACGTCAAGGGTTCGCTGTGTTTGTTTTCTTGGTGGTGCTGGGTTTGAACTAGATCCCCAAGCACATGGAGTTTATGGTATTAAATGTGATTCTTACAGTGTCTACACATATCTTTGCTCATTACATTCGTGAAGGTGGATGACTTTCTTGTGACTTCATCAGCTGCACAGGACCTGCTGGAGGAGTCACAGGGACCTAGCCAGGGTTGCTTCTCACCACCTAACAGGCTCCTCTTTTGATGGCGTCATTTTCACCCTGCAGAGAATGTGTTCACCGAAGGCCCTTCGTTCTTTTAAGAGTGGTATTGAAATGACAACTTAAAGCCAATGAGACAGAACTGTTATGACTTTTCTTTGCAAAGTGAGATTCTCTTAGAAAACCGAAAGATAGCTTTGGAGAAAAAGATTTTTAAAAAAAAGTTGGCAACCAAGCCAACTAAGATTATTTTCTGGGGCTTATTAGTAGGTATATTCGCAATTGGATGTCATGTATAAAATTACACAAAAGAATTTTCAAAAATATTATGAGACAGTATAATAGTGTCCCATAAAAGAAGGATTATAGAATAAGAAAATAGAGTGGTCCCAGAACTCAGGCAAGACAGACCCTCTTCAGTTTGAAGTGACCCTGGCATCCATTTTTCATATCTGGACCTACCGCCTGTTTTCTTGCTGAACAGTTTCGTAGCTTATGACCTTCGTTGCATGTTTTTACATGTTATGGAGGGTTGCCCTTGTTACAATCTTAAAGGATGGAAATGTTCCTCAAGGAGACGAATGACTTCCTTTCTCTAGTGCTTGGGTAAATAGCAGGTATTCTAGAAATGTTTAGTGAAAGGAGACTGAGGGCATTTTTTAAAAAATTGAATTTATTGGTACATTCTAGGTATACAGTACAGTTACATTCATTACTGGGATCTTGTACCTTTACATGCCAGGTCTTGGTTCTCATTTTTTTCCCTTGTCCCCACCCTCCCTTCACCCCCTCGTCCCCTCCCCACCTTCAAACACTTTAATTCCATTTTTACATTTTCTCATATTTTTTTCCTTTTCCCTTATTCCCCTTTCCCTATCCTTCTCACTGTCCCTACATCTTTGGTCCTTTTATTCCTATTTCATGTTGCTAATTGTCCCATTAGGATCTTGAGTACTATTTCAGTTTTTCACACCAGAGAAACTATTCGGTATTTGCATATGTGTGACTTATTTACTTCACTTAGGAGTATATCCTCACAATGTACCCATTTAATTATGAATGAATCTACTTTCTCATTCTTTATGGCTGAGTAGTATTCCATTTTATAGAAAAACCAAATCTTTATCCAGTTTCCAACTGATGGACAGATGGGCTGTTTCCAGGTTTCAGCTATTACAAACTGTGCTGCTACAAACATGGGTGTGCATATATCACTGTGATATGATTCTTTCAGTTGTTTTGGAAAGATGCCCAACAGAGGGATGGCTGAGTCAAACGGAACCTCTAATCCTAGTTCTTTGAGGTATCTCCATATGACTTCCATAGTGGTTGCACCAGTCTGGTGCAACCATAGTGCATACCATAGTGGTATGCAACCAGTCACCAACAATGGAGAAGGATTTCTTTCTCCCAACAACCATGCCAACATTTGTTGTTATGTGATTTCTTGATAGCGGCCATTCTTTGTGGGTTGAGGTGAAATCTCAGTGTTGTTTTCATCTGCATCTCTTGAATGACCAGTGATGTGGAGCATTTTTTCGTGTATTTACTTGCTGCTTTTATTTCTTTGTCTGATAAATGTCTGTTCATTTCAGATGCCCATTTTGGAAGTGGGTCTTTATATTTGGGGGCGCTGGTTGTTTTGAGTTCTTTATATATTTTGATAATAGTCCTTTGTCTGAGGAGCAGCTGGTAAAAAGTTTTTCCCACATTGTAGTTTGTCTCTTAGTTCTGTTGATGGTTTCTTTTGCAGTGCAGAAGCTTTTTAATAAGATGAGATCCCAGTTGTTGATTCTTTCTGCTAGTTCCCGTGCTACTGAGGATTTGTTCATAAAGTCTTTTCCTATGCCAATGTCTTCCAGAGTTGTGCCTAACTTATCTTCCATCAAGTTTAGTGTTTCTTTTTTTATATTTAGATCTTTAATCCACTTGGATTTTAATTTAGTGCATGGTGACAGATAAGGGTCTAATTTTTTTTAATCCTTTGCAGGTTGAGATCCAGTTTTTCCAACACCATTTATTAAAGAGGCCATCTTTCCTCCAGTGGGGACTGTCACCTCCTTTGTCAAAGATGAGGTAGCTGAGTGCATCTGGAGTTGTTTTTGTGTCTTCCAGTCTGTTCCACTGATCCTCAGGTCTGTTTCTTTGCCATTACCATGCTGTTTTAATCACAGTGGCCTTGTAGTATAGTTTCAAATTGGGAATTGTTATACCTCCTGCCATGTGTCTGTTGCCTAGGATGGCTTTTGCTATTCTAGGTCTCTTGTGGTTCCAAATGAATTTTTGGATTCTTCTTTCTAGTTCTGTGAAGTATAGTGTTGGGATTTCAATTGGTATTGCATTGAATCTGTATAGTAGTTTTGGTAGTATAGCCATTTTCACTATGTTGATTCTTCCTACCCAGGAGCAGGGGATATCTTTCCATTTTCTTATCTCCTCCTCGATTTCTTTTTTCAAAGTGCTGTAGTTTTCAGTATAGAGGTCTTTTGCTTCTTTTGTTAGATTGATTCCCAGATACTTCATTTTTTTGGATGCTATTGTGAAGGCAATTGTTTCCCTAATTTCTTTCTCAGTGAGTCTGTTGTTTGTGTACAAGAAGGCTATTGATTTTTGGGTGTTGACCTTATATCCAGCTACTCTGCTAAAAGTGTCAATTAAGCCGAGAAGTCTTTTGGTAGAGTTTTTTGGGTCTTCAATGTAGAGTATCATATCATCAGCAAATAATGACAGTTTAACTTCTTCCTTTCCTACCTTTATTGCTTTAATTTCTTTCTCTTTTCTAATTGCTGTGGCTAATGTTTCCAGAACTATATTGAAGAGGACTGGTTAATAGTGGGCATCCTTGTCTTGTTCCTGATTTTAACGTGAAGGTTTTCAGTTTTTGGCCATTTAATATGATGTTGGCTGTTGGTTTTTCATAGATAGCCTTTATTAATTTGAGACATAGACCATCTATTCCAATTTTTTGCAGGGTTTTTATCATGAATGAGTGTTGAACTTGTCAAATGCTTTTTCTGCATCTATTGAAAGGATCATGTGGTTCTTGTCCTTGACTTTGTTAATATAGTCTATTATTGAGGGCATTTTTTAAAGGTTACTTTTGGCTGGGATTCAAGGAAAGGGGGTATCTTTATTACTCTCCAGTGGCCGGGACAAAACACTCAACTTTTATTTTAATCGTTTTTAGGGTATTCAGTCCATAGTCACCTGGCAGAAGGGCTTGCGTTGGAGGAAGCTGTTCATCCCTGGAAGCCAGGCAGCAGGAGAGAAGGGAGGAGCTACAGATAAGACCACACCCGTCCGGGCCACATACCCAGTGACCTACCTCCATCAGGCCCTGTCTTCTACTAGCAGATTCTGCTCTGAACCTTCAGTGGGTTCATGCACTGATGTATATAACGCCCCCTGGTCTAATCACCTTCCAAAAGCTCAGCTTTGGAACACATGAGCCTTTGGGAGGACATTTTAGACCTAAACCACAGTAAGGAGTTGTTTGGATTTTATGATTTTGCATATCCTTCCCTTACCTCATGCTTAGCATAGCTGATGTGACTACAGCAAAGTCTTTAGGCTGAAGGATGATGAGATTCATTGGCACACATTCCTAGGGAGGTGGGGCTGGACCCACATTCTCCAAATCAGTGAATCACTGCTCTGCGCCAAGACCCAGAGAATAGATCACCCCAGCAGTGGCGGGGAGTTGGGGCATGTGAGGTGGCAGGTGACCTGCCGTGGCTTTCACTGGTGTCTTGCACAACCTGTAACACAGGTCTGTTCTTCACCTGATGTTTTTCAGGGGCCATCAACTTTCTCCGCTCCCTGCTGGAACCGGATCCTGTGAAGAGGCCAAATATTCAGCAAGCCCTGGCAAATCGCTGGCTCAATGAGAATTACACAGGCAAAGTGCCCTGTAACATCACCTATCCCAACAGGTAATGTGGTGCACCCAGAGGGACTCCTTCCCGGGCAAGAGCGGGCCAGCCCACTGCCCTGAGGAGTTCTGGCCAGGAAGCTGTTCCTGACTCGAGTCAAAGTGACCATTACTCTTGGCTGTCCTTCCTCACCTCCACCCTACATGGCCACAGCCAGGCCGGTCTCCATGTGGGAGAGGAAGTGTAGATGGTGCCACAGCGCGTGGTTGTGCAGAGGGCCAGTGGAGGCTGAAATCCAGGCCACATTCCCCATGCCAACCCTGGTTCGAACCCATGTTCCCTGAGGGACACCTCTTTCCTGTTCCCATGAAGGGACTATTTAGAGAAACTGTGGCCTGAGTGTGTGTGTGTGTGTGTGTGTGTGTGTGTGTGTGTTTGTGTTTTCCAGGCCTGTAAAGGGAACAGAATACCTTATAATTTTTGTTGCAGTGATTTTAGGAAAATTTAAAGTCCTAAACTCTTAATTAAAAAAAGCAAAGTTTCTTCTCAAACTACCCTTACTTAGATTTCTGCTGCTTCATTGGGACAGTTCTTTCAACCCCAAGCCTCCTTCCTAAAGTGTTGCAGGCAAGAAGAAAGCTTAGGAATTATTGAGACTGGGTTTCCCTGGAGACTTGCTGGAGCGGCTTTTCCTCTCAGTGACCTGGCAGTGGGACACAAGACAGGGCCTATGGATTGGAACCTGCAGCACAGGGCCACCAAGGGGCTTTCATGAGGCCCATGCTTTATCCAGTTGTAGACTGGAGTTGAAAATGAGTCCAGGGAAACACTTTCTGTGCTTTTCTTCTGCTCGCTTGGCATTGTGCTAACCAACCTGAGTAAGAGAATAAAGACCCTCGCTTTAGCTTCTGTAGAGCAGACACAGTGGTGTTACTGGCAAGAGTGGGTTCTTGCTTTAATGATAATGGAAATTAAGACTAACGTGAATTTGCAGGGGGAAAAAAAACCCTTTCATTAAAAGTGAGAGAAAATATGGGGCTGGGAATTTAGCTCAGTGATTCCACCGCCTGCCTTGTAAGCACAAAGTCCCCAGTTTGATCCCTGGTACCAAAAAAAAAAAAAAAAAAAAAAAAAGTAAGGGGAAGTACAGCTCTAACAAAGATCATGCCAGCCCCCTGACAAGCAAAGTAAAAGGAAATAAGGAAAATTTCTGCCCCTGTAGGAGCTGGATTGGCCCACTAGCCAAAGCGGGAGACCGGCTTTTCAGGATTAGCCAAGGTGGGCCAAGGTCCCATGCATTATTATCTCAGCCCTGGTTTTGTAGTTTGGGTTGAACCCTTGTGACTTGAGGGATTTGATTCCCAGAGGACTAATCCTCCTGACTTAGAGGGCAGCCTTGCTCATGTGAAGCTCTGCCTATCCACGGTAACCACAGATGTAGGGCAGTGGAGATTCTGGGCATGGCTGAATGTCCCTGTAAATCTCTTACCCTAAGGTAGGGTGGCTGAATTTGGGCTAACAAACCTTGTTTAGCCAACTGCTTCTAGTCAGACACTCCTCAGATGACTGGTGCTTCATGCAGAACAGAGCAGGAGCTGACCCAGAGTTTTACAAATGAAGGGCGAGCTTTGTTCTGCTTTAGTTATCTATTGGGCATTTGTAGTCCTGAGAGAAGCGTCGGCTTCTAGAAAAAGCCATTTTTAAGTTCCCGACTGCCTTGGAAGACGCAAATATGTTTTTAATACATAATAGATTAAAGTCCCAGGAGCTTTATCCTTTGTCCCAGTGGTGGCCTCTGACCGTCTTCAACTCTGTCACTTTGTCCCCTTGATGCTCCCTTTTGACCCCACTAGGCCAGGCCTGCATGTCTGCCTGACCTTGGATAAGAACACAGAACCACTGACCAAGGGGGCAGGTCGAGACTGAAAACCCAGGGAAGGGGTTTCCTCTGCCGTCCTGCTCCCAGAATGCCTGGGAAGCGCTGGAAACATCCACCAAGTGCATCAGAGCTGAACGCCCACTTCCCCAACCGGGACGGGCAGCAGGGCCTTGTCTTGGGGTGGAAGTTCCAGAACTTAAGGGGACACTCGGGTAGACATTCCCAGAGCCTGATCCACAATGCTGGACCCAGTGTATACACTCTGTGGCCACAGAGGAGGTGGTTTCGCTTGGTTGCCTTCTAGAATTCTAGCATTTGGCTCATGGGCGGTGATTTAGACAAAATCTAGATTACTTACGTTACCAAGGGAACCTGGAAATAGATTTGCTGTTTTCCAACACCTGCTCGATTTGGGCCAGTATCTGAAACAGACACCAGAAATACTATCCCCAACAAGAGTCAGAAAGCAGAGGCGAGGGCCATGCCTCATTGCCAGCGGATAGCGGCGTGTAGGTATGCTTTCTGTTAAAGGGGGCCGCTGGGGGCAGCCCAGTGAGTCATTGAGCTAATGAGATCACCATCTTAATGAGCAGTAATCAGTTCACTCCCCGCATGGCTCTTGAAGGAGGTGGTGCTGTGTCAGAAACTCAGTGAGCCTCTCCTCACCACCAATAGTGACTCCGCTGACACAGAATCAGGATGTGACATGTGACATGTGAGGTCTCACTTTGTAGCTCCTCCGAGGTTGTAGGTCGGCTTTGGCAGGTTAACCCTTAAACTCACCTTCCTACACTTGTTTTGCCACTTAGGCGATCTTTGTCTGTTAACTCGCTTTTTACTACAGGTTGATCAGCGTTCAGTTTTTAAGACCGGAAACGAGCATTCTAAACTGTTGGGAGAGGTACCTGTTCTTGACAATACTTTGAAAAATATTTCTCTTTAAGGCAAAAATGTACTTTTGACAATTTTTTTTTGTTTTACCCGCATATAGATAAAAGGAGAAAGAACATACAACCAAAAAAATATATATATATATTTTCTCTACAGAGTGAGGTGTAAGTTTCCCTACATTCCTAGTGTCGGGTTATGGTTTATATATGAAGTCCCCGCAGTCTCCCGTGCTCAGAGCTGGGGCTCTCCTCATCAATAGATCCTCTGGTGACTTCATAGCTGGACAGGCTGTTAGGAGCTGGGCCCCGCTGGAGGAGTGGTCATGGGCAGCCTGCCCTGGGAGAGGCTGTCTCGCTCTCTCTGGCTCTCTGGGTGTGAGTAGCGTTCCTCGGCCATGCTGTTTCTGCTGCTCTGCCTTGCAGACCATGGACTGAATCCTCTGAAAACTGAGCCAAAATAAACCTTTGCTCCTCTAAGTTGTATATGGCAGGTATTTTGTCCCAGTGACAAAGTTGATTAATACAACCAGATTTTAACTGTTTTAGTATATGTGCAGCCAAAGCAAGCACCAGATTTAATAATTTTAGATGTTGTCAATGTTTGCCTTTTGGAAAAGTAGAGAAGATAAAGTCCCTAAATTTACACTGATGTTCTGTAAAGGCTTCTCCTAGGAAGTCATTTGGATCTGAGCTGATGTCCACAAAGAAAGAGGAAAACAGCTGTAAGCATTAATTTTTTATAATAAATGTTCATGCCAGTCAGTCAACAGATGTTTTCTGGATGCCTGGCTGGCTGTGCTGATCCGGGCACAGACAATTTTACAGGGCTGCCCGGGCTGCCTTTTCCCGTCTTCCTGAAGGGATCTACACAGCTCCCCACCCCTCTAGTTAGCTGTGGAGGTGGGTGGGAGGAAAGCGTGTCATGGATAACATGGGACAGCATGAGACCAAAATGGTATAAAATGGGCCTACTGTGAATATGCTTAGTTCAAATTATACTTCGTGCGGCGGGACACCTTTCCATTCTCTGTATCATCCAAGTGGACAGATAGAACATGAATTCCACAACAGACATCGGAGAGCACCAAATATATACATTATTTATTGGAAAGTTTAAAATATGTATTAGTGTCTGTCAAGAGTGGATTGTCAGCCGACATTTGGCAGGACTCGCCTGGTTTTGGAGACAACACACATAAAAGGCAGTCTTGGGGTGTCTGACCCAGGGCATATCCGTTTTACCTGCAGCCCTCAATCCCTGCACCCCACACCCTCTCTCACCCTGGAGTCCCTGGCTCCAGGCAGTGGGCGGGGCTTAGGGAGTAAGGCCATGATCTGATTGGCCCGGGGCACAACTTCAGGTATGATCTGATTGGCTAGGGGTGGGGCCATTATCATTCCTACACTAGTGTTACCAGATATTTTTAAACAATTGCACCCGCCTGTGTTAAGCATTTTGGTGAGTGACTGCAGTCATCGTAATGCAAATAATTGTATTATTTCCTTAAAATTTTTTTCTTGGTGCTGGAGCTGGGATCCAGGTCCTCAAGCATACTAGCAAGTACCCTACTAGAGTTGTATCCCCAAACCATATTCTTTTAAATATGTTATGAATATCTTCTTCTAACCATAGCCATTTCATTCGCTTTCCCACATGTTACATAGAGTTTTATAATTTGGGGACAAACAGGAATGAGGACGCAGTTTCACTGTTGGTTGTGGATGGGTGTTGCAGCCCACCCTCAGTCCAGCCTAATGGAGGAGCTGCTGATAAAGGTTAACCCAACACAGTGGGTGATGCCCTTGGTCCCCTATCAGTGGATGGGGCAAGTTGGGCTCCTTCTCTTTCCAGTTATGGGGTACACTCTGGCACTTTTTCTGGGTGTTATGGCTCTGAGGTCCCATGAGAAATATCTTTAGCCCATTTGGTGCAGGTCGGGAGCTCTCCTTCCAGTCATGACTGCCCTCTGCTCACCCGTTCCCTACTTGTATCTCTCGGGATTTAGAGTGTTCTGTCTGACGATGTACCCCCATTACCAGTGCATGCGCCTGTAACCTTCACCCTGATTTCTTGTTCTTGGTAGCTATTCAGTGGGTCTATGGAGAGGCAGTGAGACTAGAGGTTTAGCACCCAGACTCCAGCCACACTGCATGGGTTTAGTTCTGGGGAGGCCACTTCCTGCCTCTGTGACCCTGCGCAAATTACTTCAGTTTCCTTGTCTGTAAAATGTTGATGCTGATAGTCCTTGCTCATAGGACTATCATGAGGGCTAAATGGATTTGTATTCTCTCTTCCTGGAACATCAGTTCCATGTGGCAAGGATTTGGTGGGTGAATGCAAGAAGGAGTATTTTTAGAATACCACTGTGAACGAGCTTCAGCCTTCCCCCTCTGAGAGCACCCCAATTTATAGCTGAGTACAGGCTCCCCAAATGGAGGAACTTGTGCATTCTCACAGATCCTCTAGTGGTCTGATTAGTTCCCGAATGCCTTCCCTGCCCAGCCCAAAGACAGGCTAAACGCGTGTTCCACCCGTGGCCAAGAAATATTCTGTGGAAAGGATGTCTAATTGGAAAGAAATTGGGGGCACAGTCGGGGAATTTGAATGTAATGGTATTAGATGCTATCTATTAAGATTTTACGGGCCAGGGATTTAGCTCAGTAGTTTCACTGCCTGCGCCTTGCAAGAGCAAGGGCCTGAGTTCAATCCCTGGTATCAAAAAAGAAAAGAAAAAAAAAAAAAGATTTTACTCGGAGTGTTGATGGCCTTGTGGCTCTTTAGGGGATGGCCTGGGGCTTTAAAACTGCACACTCAAGCATTTAGAAGTGAAATGGCATGATATCTATAATTTAAAATACTTTAGTCCCTGGGAAGTTGTTTTCTGGATCTTCCCAAGGAGGCCAAAAATCTGCAGATGCTCAATTTCCAAACATTACAATGGCACGGCGTTTGAATATGACCCATGCACGTCTTCCTCTGTACTTCAGTCACCTCCAGATTATTTGCAGTACTTCATACAAGGTACATAGTGGATATACTGTGTTGTTTAGAGAATGACAAGGAAAACGTCTTTACATGTGCAGTACACTTACAAAATTCTGCAAATAATTTCCATCCAGAGTTGGTTGGACTGCACAGATGAAGAACCCACAGAAACAGAGGGAGGGCCAGCTGTGCGCTGTTCCCTCCTCTCTGTGTACATGAAATCTTGTGTAAAAAGAAGTCAAGTGAACGTGTGAAGCTGATTGTCCACAGAGGCTTGCATGGGCCAGCCCAGTGCTGCTATGTTGTGAGCCCTTCCGTCGGCGTGGAGAGCTGACCATTTGTGACTGTCCGGCCCACAGGATTTCCCTGGAGGACCTGAGCCCGAGTGTGGTGCTACACATGACTGAGAAGCTGGGCTTCAAGAACAGTGATGTGATCAACACGGTGCTCTCCAACCGCGCCTGCCACACCCTCGCCATCTACTTCCTCTTAAACAAGAAACTCGAGCGCTACCTGTCAGGGGTAAGTGGGGCCTTCGGTCCAGGGTTGCCCAGTTGCTGACACTTGATCCAAACTGCTTATTTAACCGAAGGTGAGGCTGGGTTTCTTAAGTGTGGGATAAAATAGTAGCAAAACCTGCTTCTCAGGTAGTACTTTGAATCCAAGATGTTTTTCGTATTTTCAGTTAAGCCCTGGGGAGAATTGTGAGGAATTCAAGCCTCTTTTTCCTTCAGCTCAGTTGTCTGTTTTTGATCTGTGCCCTCTTAGCTCTTTGGTTCCCCATGTTAAAGAAACTGGGGACTTTGGTCATAACAGTTGAAGAGCAGTGCCTGTCAGGAATTCACCCTCAACCCTCAGTATCCAAGGTTCTGTATCAGAAGGAGTCAACCCACAACAGATCAATATATATATAAGTATAT